TAGACTTCTGCTGGAAAGTTGGTCTTCGACTGGTACACTTAACAGAGCCATATACCTTCATCCTGCCTACCAGGCGGTACGCACACGGCTCAAGTCAGTTCAAACAAGGCAAAAAGGACGGCGAAGCAGACAAAAGCATGAAGTACAACTGAGATCAGAGGAACATAGGAGAGGTGTCGGCCAGGGACCACGTTACCAGCGTGGAACGCTACCTCACTGCTGCCGCGCACGCTAGGCTGGCATGAACTAATGCGGGCAGCAACGAGTGATTAGTCTGTCGGTGTACGAGGGGCGGGCCAGTAAGCGTACTGACTTGCCAATAATTATGAAAATCGGAAAATATTCTCCGGACTTTCAAGGATGACTTCAAACTAATTATAATCCAACACTATAAATATCTGTAAAGACATAGGATGTTTTCGATTTCACCTGACAATTAAATTTAATTCACTTGTGAAAAATTCGTGGACTCGGTGGCTGTACTAAGGCCTTCACTGCGGATGTGGGTTCGAATCCCACCGAGGCCACGAATTTCTCAAAATTGGATCATTTGAATTATTCAAATCTACCGAACACCTCCTAATAATTGTATTTATGAATATATGTGCTTCGCCGATCTAGAAAAGGAACAACTAAGTTCTGCTTTGCCCACTATGTGGCTGCCTGCGCGGGCTCTAATTGTGAGCTCCTGGGCAAAGCGGCACTTAAATGTTCCTCTACTAGGTCGGCGAAGCACAAATATTCATCATATTCGCGATGTCAACCGACAAAGTAACGAGCCCATGGTGCCGTGGTAAACTCATTAACCAAAGATCCCGAGTGCGAATCTCGGGGGTTCCGATCCCTGAGATACTGACCGTAGGTCCCCGGTTCAAATCTCGGGGGTGCCAACGCTCGAGATTAAGGGTGGTAAAGCCAATGACCAAAGGTCCCGGGTTCGAATCTCGGGGGTTCCGCCACCTGAGATTGAGTATTAACTGGCTGATGACGGCTAACAAGCCAGAAATGGCCATTCCGGTCTCCCTTTGATTTGTCGGATACGTTCCAATTATATTTATATTGATTGGCCACAGTTACAGCGATTTTTCACGTTTTTCGGAATTAAAGGCCTTCTGAAAAAAACAATTGGTATTTTTAAACAAACTGAAAGTACTTTTTTATATTTACTATAAGTTTTTAATTCGCATAAAGTTGTCCATTATTGTTTCCAAGTTTTCGTACGCGCGTCAATGCTGGTTTCTGAATGCTCGTTAGTATCTTGTAAATTTCGGCAATTTGCATCAGATATGTAGATCCTTTGCTGTAAATAAACAAGCTTTCCATAGCCATCATAAAAAATATCATTAAGTTTTACTGGAAATAAATTAGCGGCTTTCGAATTTGAGCCACCCATTTTTTTGCTCTCCATTCACGTGGGA